CACCACCGACAGCTCGACCGTCGTTGCCGACGATGTCCACGGTGTGCTTCACAGCAAGGTGAAGCAGGCACAGCGACTTGCGCGTGATTTAATTTATTGTGGGCGTAGACTTGCGCAGAATCTTTCGCACTCTCTCCTACCCCTATTTGGATCCGGTGTCAAGGAGTCAAGAAGACCGAGGGCGGGGGAGTGCGCAGGTGGATGACACGGTTGAGCCCGTACCTTGGCGTTCCACTCCACACTCCCTGGTCCACACAGCAAATGACCTAGTTTTTAACCAACGACAACAATAGAGGGCGGCAGGGGTCCAAGTGTACGCGACGACTGTCGGCGACTACTACTACTACCACAACAACTACCGACTCAGCGGCCACCAACCTATCCTTCCCATAAACCTGGCCTGGTTAGTCACTTGCAAAATCACAACACTGAGACTGGCGAACCACTGCCAGGGGCACCAACATACACCCACCGCATCCGCCTCATTTGTCCACACTGTCCACAGACCTCCAGTCACCGTAGGCGTCCACTTGATGGCATGCGTCTTCTCCAAAAATCTGCGCTAAAACACTGCAGTTCAAGCCCTATAAAAACACCTAGCCAGACCAGCCCACATCACCCGACTCAGGAGCAGAACATGCATCTCCCACTTTCGCCGCCCACCCTCCCCCGTTGTGAAATCCTGGGGAATCAGGTCGTGCATGTGGTGCAAGCAAACAAGGTCAATAGATATGTCAGCTATCGCGCCCATCCCCTGCACCTGTGAACTGACCGGCTCGGACAGTGACTGGGACCTAGGGATGGGATGGGAGGGTGAGGTCGATCACTGTAAATAACCTGGCACGCTCGAATCTCTCACGGTGTGCAGAAAACCGTGGCTTGGGAGGTTGCTGACTGACGGGATAACGCGGACCTCATAGTCGACCACGTGTATGTGTATGTGCACGAGTGTCTGAAAGCGTGTGCTATGTCAGTGTTAGTAAACCATGGCCCTCGCAGCCTGGTATGCGCTGGCAGTCCACTGACGGTAGATGCGCTTGTGCCTCCGCTGGGTATACAGGTGGTAGGCATGGCTGCCCAGTCACCCTCGTCCTCCTGACCCTTACTGAGGTGTTGACGTTGTTGTTGATCAAAATCCTGACCATTTGATGTGGGGACCAGGGGTGTGTAGCAGAACGCCAAGGTGCAGATCCGACCTCGCCATCCTCTTGGCTTCGTTTTGACATCGGGTCGGGGGGGGAGTTGGTAAGAGGGAGTGCGGTAGATGCGTCGCAAGTGTACTATTACCATGAACTAATTCACGCGCAAGCCACCGGACGTACTGCACCTTGGTATGTAACAGGCGGTGGGCATAATCGAAAGCGACGGTCGAACTGCCGTGTGTTGGGTGTAAGGGTGTCCAACCATGGGTCCACGTGACGGTCGTAGTAGGTTCCTCGCTTGCTTACAGGTGTAGATTACGCCTGGCGTCCATTTGCTGGCATCCAACTCTCACAGGTGGCTCCCCGAAGCTAGACTCTGCCTAGGTACCCATGCTCTCTGCGGCTCAAAAGACAACGGCCGGCTGCTTCTCCGCACCTGCGCAGAACACCGCCTCATCCTGACGAACACCTTCTTTTGTCTGCCGGAGCGAGAGAAGACCACCTGGAGGCATCCTCGGTCGCGTCAGTGGCACCTACTGGACTATGTTCTCGTCCGGAGGCGAGGCAAGCGGGACGTACTGGTGACAAAGGCGATCGCGGGTGCTGACGGTTGGACCGACCATCGCCTCGTCATCTCGAAGATGCGTATTCGCCTACAGCCTCGCTAGAGACCACAAGGTAAGCGACCCCATGTACGCTGAACGTTGCTTTGTTGTCTTTGCCCACTCACCATCTTCATTTCAACGATGAGCTAGCTCAACGGTTAGACGACCTTCCAATCACTGCCGCCGCCGACGCCGCCGCAGCCGAGAACACCTCCGTGGAGAGTCGATGGTGACAACTGTGAGACACGGTCCAGTCGACGGCGCTAGTCGTCCTCGGTCGCGCACGCCGCCAACACCAGGACTGGTTGGACAACAACGACGCCGTCATCAGAAATATGCTTGCTGAGAAGAACTGCCTACACAAAGCCTACGTAAACCACCCCACGGACGACAACAGAGCGGATTTCTACCGCATTCACCGCCAGCTTCAGCAACGACTGCGCGAGATGCAGGACGCCTGGACTGCCCGCAAAGCTGAGGAGATCTAAGGATACGCGGACCGCAACGAATGGAAGAACTTCTTCTCTGCGATCAAAGCTGTTTACGGTCCACCGACGAAGGGCACTGCTCCTCCCTTTAGCTCCGATGGCAGTACCCTCCTGACCGAGAAGACACAAATTCTACAGCGATGGGCCGAGCATTTCCGAGGCCTCCTCAACCGCCCTCCGCCATCTCCGACGCCGTCATCGACCGTATGCCTCAAGTGAAGACCAACGTGGACCTCGACCTCCCGCCATCTCTCCGCGAAAGCATCAGGGCCGTGCAGCAACTCTCCAACGGAAAGGCACTCGAATCGGACGCAATCCCTGCTGAGGTCTACAAGCACGGAGGTCCCCGACTGATGGATCACCTGACTGCGCCCTTCCAGGAGATGTGGCGTCAAGGTGAAATCCCGCAAGATTTCGAAGACCCAAGAATAGTGCATCTATACAAGCGAAAAGGAAACAGCCAACTCTGCGACAATCACCGCGGCATCTCCCTGCTGAACATCGCCGGGAAGATATTCACTCGCCTCCTCCTCCTCAACCGTCTGAACAATCATCTGGAACAGGGCCATCTGCGGAAAGTCAGTGCGGCTTTCGCCATCATCGCGGGACCACGGATATGATCATCGCCGCCCGTCAAGTTCAGGAGAAGCGCCAGGAGATGCGGACCCAACTGTACTCTACCTTCGTGGACCTGACGAAAGCCTTCTACAGGGGGAATCGTAAGGGACTGTGCCTGATCCAACGTCATCCAGAAGCGGCACACTGGTACACAACCTGTCGTCAAAGGAACTGACGAAGGAGCAAGCACAAGTTTTACGGCACGAAGCCTCATTCAACACAGCTGACGCCAAACCTGTCAACATGATTGCAGCAGTGGAATCGGTCATTAATCAGACGGAAGCGGCGGAGGAGACGAAGAATCTTATCCGACACCAAGTTACGTCCCTCCTTATGACTCACAAGCCGCGCGAAACACTCACAAAGGTCGAACGCCACGCATTAAGAGAACTCAAGGCCGACAAGAACATCGTCATTGTGCCCGCGGACAAGGGGCGTTCCACCGTCGTACTGGACAGAACAGACTACCTTCAGAAGGCCAAAAACCTACTGGAGGATCGCCAGTTCTATGTCCCATGTGAAACCAACCCCATAAAAACGCTGACACGCGAAATTAATGCAACACTGTTGGCACTGGAGAACTCCGATGCAATAACAGCGACCGACCGACGCATGGCGAGAGCTCAAGAAACGGCTTTGGCCCGATTCTATGGTCTCCCAAAGGTGCACAAGGAGGGCGCTCCTCTCCGGCCCATTGTTTCGCTCAAAGGCAGTCCAACGTACGGACTGGCAAGATGGCTGTTTCGGCGCCTCAAATTTCTGACCGCTGATTCGGACACCACGGTCTGTTCGTCAACGCAATTCCTGGAGAAGCTCAAAGGAGTAAGTCTCTTGCCCAATGAGGTCATGGTATCTTTTGATGTCACATCCCTCTTTTCTTCTATCCCCCAGGATCTGGCAATCGAGACCGTCCAGCTACTCCTACGAAACAAATACGATGAAACGGAGAATCGTCTCGGACATGCCCAAGTCCTTCAGCTCCTAAAGTTCTGTCTCAGGACGTACTTCACGTTTGACGGAACAATCTACGAGCAAGTAAAGGGAACACCGATGGGCTCGCCGATTTCGGGATTCATCGCCGAGGCGGTGCTACAGCGGTTGGAGTCGCTGGTCTTCCAACACCACAGACCGAAATTCTGGGCTCGGTATGTGGACGATACCTTCGTCGTCATCGAACGGGATCAGGCGCTAACGTTCAAAGAACGTCTCAACAGCGTCTTCACAGACATACAATTCACGATGGAGGAGGAAGAGAATAACCAGCTGGCATTCCTTGATGTCCTCGTCTGTCGCAAAGATTGTGGTGGCCTAAAGACCAAAGTGTTCAGAAAAGCGACGAACACGACGGAAATACTGAACTTCAACAGTAACCACCCAATCTGCCACAAACGCAGTTGCGTAAGAACGCTATTTCGGCGTGTTGAGACGCACTGCAGTGAACCGGAAGACAAGGTTGCCGAATCCCAATATCTTCGACGGGTTTTCCGAGAAAACGGTTACCCGCGCAACTTCGTCAACCAGTGCCTGCGCAACCGAGACGAGCGACAAAATCGCGCCGACGCCAAATTCTGGCGAGCGATCCCGTACATCAAGGACTGTGGAAGATCATGCAGAAATTCGGCTGTCTCGAGCGATTCATTCAGACAGTACGTCAGCTGCACGACGTTCACTGCTATGCTGATGGACGCCTACAGTGACGAACGTCCCGGGACCCGAATCGCCTAGGGAATGAACGGTCACCTTAATCAGCGGCAGATGCACTTCCAATCGCGCGTGTTTACAACCACCGTTCACGAACTTCTTTTCGCCGACGACTGCGACCTGAACATCACCTTAGAAGAGGAGATGCAACGGAGCATGGACCTGTTCTCCGCCGCCTGCGAGAACTTCGGTCTGGTCAGTAACACGCAGAAGTCGGTGGTCATGCATCAACCGCCATCCAACACCACCACTCCCCCGAGCGCCGCAAATCAGCTTGAATGGAACCCAACTGCAAGCGATGGAGAACTTCCCATACCTGGGCAGTACCCTCTCCCGCAGCACCAAGATCGATAACGAAGTCGCCAACAGGATCTCGAAAACCAGTCAAGCCTTCGGCCGCCTCCAAAGCACAGTTTGGAATCGTCACGGTCTCCAACTGAGCACGAAGCTAAAGATGTACAAGGCCGTCATACTGCCGACGCTGCTGTACGGAGCGGAGACTTGGATAGTGTACACAAAGCAGGCACGCCGACTGAGCCACTTCCACCTCAGTTGTCTTCGTCGCACCCTGAGGCTGAGGTGGCAAGACCGAATCCCGACACGGATGTACTGGAACGGACGAGAATCCTCAGCATTTACGCCATACTGAAACAAATGCAGCTGCTTTGGAGCGGCCACCTCGTGCGCATGGACGATGAATGGCTACCCAAACGACTCGTCTACGGAGACGTCGTCATGGGTTCTCGCCGCCAAGGAGGCCAAATTCATAGATACAGGGACACTCTGAAGTCTTATCTGAAGCGCCTGAAAATTAACCAGGCCAACTGGGAAGAGCTCGCCCGCGATCTTCTGAAATGGAGGACAACAGTGAAGATGGGCGCTGCTATCTACGAAGCCAACCGCATCGCCGCCGCCAAAGTCAAGCGTGAAGCACGCAAATCACAACTGCGTTTCTTTTGTGTCAACGGACATTCCGGGCATGAATTGGGCTTATTGGACACCTTGAGGAAGGAAACACGATCGCCGGGACAAGAGCTTTATTAGCCTGACGTTTCGGATTCCTACTCGAATCCATCATCAGAGACAAAAATGCAGAAACGCGTGGTTTTTGCACAAGGGGCTGCGGTATTTATAGGATGCAGTAGCCATGCTACCGCATACCTATGAACATTCACGGCTCCCCCCTTCATCCGGGATCGTCGCACTTGGTGTGATCATTGCTTGATGGCCGACATTCGAGTCGACAATTGCTGCAATTTCATCATGTGCGTTGGATGTTGGCGTGATGATTGCTCGACCATCTGACGCACCGACCCCGGTGTTGGGAAAAGTGTTCACCTCTGCGCTCACCGCATGGCCAATTACTCCGCCTAGACGAAGTCTTAGCACGGAGTATGAAGTCGGAAGATCGTTGCACTTGTTAATGGTCTGGGGGCCAGTAAACCATTATTCCAGTAACTCCCGGCTCACGCGGTTGTCACCTCTTGCGAGAATTTCAGCTTCATCGAATTTGAATGTGTGGCCGGAACCCGTCGAATGAGCCGCAACTTGAGAGCTGGCGTCATTTCTGCGCACCGCTGCCGCGTGTTCGGCCATTCTCGTTCGGAGCTGTCTTCCGGTTTCTCCGACGTAGTTGCTTTGTCCGCAACTGCACCAGATCCGATAAACGACTGCAGACGTTTCTAGCCGTGGCGGTGGGTCTTTCGGTTTCATGACCAGACACCTGATGGTTGCCTCCGGTCTGCGTGTCACTCCAACCCCAAGTGGTGCGAGAAGGCCGCCGACAGCTTCCGAAACGTTCTTGACATACGGAAGTGCCCGCCAAGATTTGGTGTCCGTGCGGTTAGGCCTTTCGTCCCTTTTGCGTATGCACCGGTCGACTAAGTTGCGCGGGTAGCCATTGGCTTCGAAGACATGTCGGAGGTATTGTACTTCGGCAATTTTGTCTTCCGGCTCACTGCAGTGCGCTGCAACACGCCGATAGAGCGTCCTTACACAGCTGCGTTTGTGGCTGATTGGGTGGTTACATTTGAAGTTCAGTACTTGCATCGTATTTGTCGCTTTCCTGAACACTTTGGTTTTTAGTTCACCACAATCTTTGCGGCATACGAGGATATCCAGGAAGGCCAGCTGGTTGTTCTCTTCCTCCTCCATCGTAAATTGAATGTCCGGGAAGACGGCGTTGAGATGTTCTTGGAATGTCAACACCTGATCCCGTTCGATGACAACGAAGGTGTCATCCACAAACCGGGCCCAGAATTTCGGTCTGTGGTGTTGGAAGACCAGCGACTCTAACCGTTGCAGGACCGCCTCGGCGATGAATCCCGAAATCGGCGAACCCATTGGTGTGGCCTTCGCCTGTTCGTAGATTGTCCCGTTGAACGTGAAGTACGTCCTGAGACAGAGCTTCAGGAGCTGAATGATTTGGACGTGTCCAAAACGGTTCTCGTGTTCATCGTATTTGCTTTGTAGTAGCAGCTCAATTGTCTCGATCGCCAGGTTCTTGGGAATCGAAGTAAAAAGGGATGTAACATCAAAAGATACCATGACCTCATTTGGAGGGATGCTTACCCCTTTGAGTTTCTCCAGGAATTGTGCTGACGAAGAGACCGTGGTGTCTGACTCCACGCTGCTCCAAATTCTGCCGTCATGGCGCCTGCCACGCTACTCAATGACTGCCATTGTGGCTTCTGCCATTTCCACCAACACGTCACACAATCCTGACATATCCTCAGATATCAACACCACCACCGTCGCACCGGTGGTGAGGGCCAGGACTACACGTGCTCTCACTACGACCGCACCTTAACCTCACACATTAGCTTGGTCGGTCACTCGCGAATCCATCGCCCAGAGACTGGCGAATCAGTGCCTAAAGCACCAATCTACAGCCACCGTACTCGCCTGCAGTGCCCTCGCACCTTCACGCATCGCAAGGGCCTATTCGGCCACATGCGCATCCACGAAAACCTGCGGTGGACAACCGCTGGCTGCACCACACCATCACACCCTCCCTCCCTCCCTCCCTCACCACCACCACCACCCCACCACACATCAACACTCGCCCACCGCAAGCACCCAATTGCCACCTCCCACGCAAGTGGGAAGTGCGCATCTTGACTTGGTCCCCATGCGGCTTCGGCTGCACGGCGACTTGAGTCTGAGACTACCCCGACACGTCAAACGTCGTGGATAGGAAGGCCGTTGATTTACGCCCCCACTCGGTCCACGCAGTCCGTCCCGTTGTGTGCGTTGTTTGGAGTGGTGGACTGGTGGGCTGGGATACGGACTGAAACAACACCTTCCACGGCCCTCTCACGCAAGTGAGAGATACGCCGCTCAACCCCCGTTGGGCGAAATCCTGGTGTATGTGTGTCTGGGGGGTAGATCGTGCACGTGGCGCACGTAGACATGGTCCGTCAACCATGTCAGCCACCACGCCCATTCCCCACTCCAGTCTGCTGACCGGCTCGGACAGCGGCTGGGGTGTGGGAATGGGAAGGGAGAGTGAGATCGACGACTCAGCGCACTTTCTTCCTCACTACAAACAATCTGACGCGCTTGAAGCTTTCACGGTGCGCTAAAAGCCGTGGCTTGAAAGGTTGCCAACTGACGGGATAACTTGGACCTTCTCCTTGACTGGTGGTGGTCTGAGAGTCAGGCTGCAATGGCTCCTTCTTAATGTGGCCTTTATGGCACTCCCACCACAGTGTGGGATCCGAGCCAGGTGTCGGCGGCACGCCTAGGCGTGACTTCGGTCGTACCAGCCTCCAAACCTCTCTTGTGCTGGTTGAAATCCTGGTCATTTGTTGTGTGGACCAGGGGGTGCGGAGTGGAGCGCCAAGGTGAGGATCCGTCCGAGCCATCCACCTGCGGCGTCCCACGTCCCCGGTCATCTTGACTCTGTCTTGACACCAGACTCATGTGGGGGAGGAGGAGGAGGAG